ACTACCCCTCTGCTGTACTTTGAGTAGAGAGTGGGCCACACGTATTATATTTTCAAGTTTTACAAACAATTATATAATATCAACAATAATAAATTATTACAAATAATATATTAATAATATAATATTATTACTATTATCGTTACGCTTAGGTACGCACTCGTTCGCTCGCATATTATTTATATTACACAGTCACGCGTTATAACGTATGAATATATATACGTATTTATGTTATTATCTATGTATTATATGTATATATAGTCACAGCCAGGGGCGTAATTAGGGGGTGATTTGGGGGATAGATCTCAAAACTTTTTTTTACTGCTAACATTTTGATCAATGTATTGCAGGATGACCCATTCATGTTTGCTAAAAACGTATATCCCCCCAAACTAAATTCCTAATTACGCCACTGTAGGTCACAGATCGCTACTAATACTAATAATGTATATATATATTATATATTATATAGTTTAAAAGATTATTTTAATTTTTCATTATTGATTCAATAAACTTTAATGTTTCCTTGAAGTTAAATTTAAGACATTAATAATTTCACTATCGTAAAATCCGCATAGAACATTTACAGTTAAATATTATTTTAAATAATTTTTGTAATATTCTTTAAAAGTTTTCTGCTAATCAAAACTAAAATATTATAAATTTAACTAATTCAAAACATACAAAAAATATTTTCAAAATAATATTATATTAAGTTAATAACATAAAGTTGTTTTAAATGACTTACAGGGTTTTAAATTCAATATTAGAAAAAAAAACTTTATAATCATTTTAAAGAAATATTATGAATAAAATATTATTTTTTTAAATTCTGAATAATGTTATAATAATATTGAAATTTTAATATTTAAGATTTAACCTAGTTAAAAAGTTATCATAATATTGATGTTACTAAATTGCCGTCTGGGTAGTTCTTTAATATTTATCAACTGCTATTTTAACAACTTATAAGGAACCTTGTAATACATTTTAAAACTTATTCACACAACTAATACATTTTTATTAAAATGTATATAATAAAAAACTAAAAAAATTGAATATTTTAAATGTCTATAAATATCTCATTACGAGTTACCATATTTTTAAAAGGTTATAATGTATAGACAATGATAAAATAATCATTTAATGGAATTGTCAAGTATTTACTGGTTAATGGTTTTTGAATTACGACAAAATAAGAAAATTGTATTGGAATTCGTTACATTTATAGGTACGGGTGATGAATATCCAATGTCTAACTTAAAACTCATAAGAATTTAATTCGTCTTTCCTGTCCATTTTTTTTTTGTTAAATGTAGGATTACTTAATGGTAATTTTGAAAGTTTCAAATATTAGATATACATAGAAAATTTGTATGAATTTCTAACTCAAATTCATTTGCCAATTTTCGTGATTTTGATGAATTTTGTCAACATTTTAACTTCAGACGTTCATTCTTTTTTTTTTAATTTCCACTAGGTAACAAAAATTAAATTATGAGGACCCATGTATTACAATTTCAAGTTTTTCAACTGAATGAAAAACTTTTTACCTACAACAATAAATTAAAAAAATTAAAAAACTAATAACACTCGACATTTTCTTATGGTTATAATTTATAAAAAGATCAAAAAAGATCACAATATTTCGAAAATGTTATGGGGCATAAAAATTGGTAATATAAATCATTCTGTGAAAATTTGATGCTAATACGGTTTTTTTTTTTTTAAATTTTGTTAAAAACTGGTATTGGGTAAAAATCTCAATTTTAATTAATTTGTTGTTTGTTTTTCCTAACTATTTCTGATTAATTTTGATCCCCCGAAGTACAGAACTAGATTCACTTTCCAACCAAAAAAGATGCTGTAGAAGAAAATTGAAGCATTTTTATTGTGCCTTTTAGTGACTATAGACACAAAAAAGAAAAATTTAACACGTTCACTGTCCATGTGTTAAATTAAATCAAAACTGATCAGTCCTTTGACCCATATGTGGGTCATGTCAAACCTATTTCATCAGTCCATGACCCATATGTGGTTCATTTTATACATTTATTTCCCTGTTGATTTATTGGAATGGACTACATGCTATGAAATTCATAATAACACAGTTAGACTGGGGAGATGATAAGCTTTCTAATGATATATAGTTTTAATATGTTTGTAATTGTTATAAGCTAATAAAAATACATGCATAATATAATAAATTATTTATTGTATATTATATTTCATTACATTTTATTCGTAAAACTAATGGATTTTGTTGTAACAAATTAAACAATAAGCATGACCACATACTTTACAATGTGTGTTAACTTTTTTTGCTTTTTTTCCAGCTTCTTCTGCACTCAACTGTCCATTTCACGAAGACTTGAATAGCACCCATGACATCTTTTTCTTTGTATTTTTCCATTTTGTCTATCAAACTGTTCAAGAAAATGCGTTGAAATATTTTTTTGAATGTTCACAGATTCTGATTTGTCTGTAACCTCTGTACACAAAATACTTCTAGACAGTGATTCGGTAAATGAAAGTAAAGTTAGTTTCTTGTTTACTTGTTTGTTGAAAATAATCATACTATTTACTACTGTTATCCCAAATAGTAATTCCATAGCAACTTTTTTGTACCAAACAAGAGATTTTCGTTGTGGATTATAATAACTGCTTAGTTGATCTGAAACATCGATTCCTTGTTTTGTATTATTGTAATCCAAAATCATTTTTGGTTTTGTTATTGTATTTCCTTTTCTATCTGTTTTTCCTGTATTTTGAAATTGATCTCCATGACAAGTAGATAACATCAAAACATCTCTTTTGTCATGCCATTTTAAAATTGTAATAAATTATTTTTGTCTTGCTATAAACTGTCCTTTTTTCAATTTTTTTTCTTTTACATCTACTGGAAGAATAATAAGATCACGTACGCAACTAATGTGTTTTCGTTCTACTGTTATACTATACAACTGTACGTCAAAGATAAGAACAAACATTTTAAATAGTATCTAAGGATCCGAGGAAATCCCATGTAAAAATAATAATATACGCATATTTTACGTAACAATTTAACATGCACCACATACGGGTCATGAACTATAAACAAAAAAAAGTATTGATTTCAAGTCCATGAACCACATATGGGTCATGCTATTTTTAAATATAACTGGTTTGTATTTATCATTGTTTATAGATGTAGCTTACTCTGGCACTCCAAATATAATCAAAAATAATATTATCGAAGTGGACTAGCGCGTACTGTTTATCAATTTTCAATAGGGACTAATCAAGAAATAAACCATGAACCACATATGGGTCATCGGACAGTGAACGTGAGATATTAAGAAAAGAACACATTTTTCCACTCAGAATCTAAAATAAATTAAGATTTTTTTATTCAATTTACTATCTATTTTATACTATAAATTATAATTGCATGTAAGATCAGACATTGTATTTTTAAATTCAAATATTTATGCGTAGTTCATACTTCGTACTCAATATAATAACTAATAACTAATAATTAATAACGATTAACTGCAGCACGACAAACAATAATTAATAATATTTTAGTGATTATTTTTTTTCAGTCAATAGTCAATACTCAGCTATATTGTATACCTACCTACCTACATACTGTATAGCAACAGAATAAATGAAACGAATAAAATATAAAAATTATCTTATCTCCACTAGGTAGGTATAAACATTAATTAATGATTAATTATTAATATATAATATTTATAATTCATAATATAATGTTCTGAGCTAATTTTATTGTACCGTTTATAGTTTATTTGAAACATTGAAAATGCAACAATTTCTACATTCAATATTCCAATATATTTACTACCTAGTATTTCTATTTGTGTGAACACCGGTCAGATTATTATAAATATTGTTTTCATTCATTTAGGGTCATTAGTCATTACTCCCTATACACACCGAGGTCCATGACCACCCACCCAACTATAAGATGTATCAACGGATACACCTTCAGTATAAAATAGCCGCCACTGACTGGTATTCACAATATAAAATAAATACATTAAAAGTACCTACACATAGTTCGTCAAAAACAGTAACACTATTGTGATATTTTCATACTAATATAAGGGACATATTACATAAATTATACAATATTATTCTCCAATTTTTGTCCCCACTTGACCCTCCTAACCCCCCAAAAAACACTCTTTCCGCATATTTATGGTAACTATCTCTCTTTTGATTTTTGATATTTTTCCAATATTTTTTCTATCATAAGCCTATCATGCTAGGTTGACGTCATATAATATTTTATTTAAAAAATAGCGACCATTTTGTAACAATTCGTAACGCATGGTTTCAAAAGTTTACCCCAAAAAGTTCTCCCTTGAATTGAAGGTTCAGTTTTATTGGTGCTAGGTTGACGTCTGTTCAGCCGCAAAAGGGCAATTTTACAATTTTTTTTTAGAAAAATATTAAGTAACCATTAAGTAATAATCTGTAATGCAAGATTTGGAAATTTTAACCTCAAACTTAACCTTTGCATTAAACACATTTTAGCTGATTTGAGACCATCGCTAGAGAGTAAAGTTGTATACGTTTTGTTTTTAAAAAAATAGTAACAAATCTGCAATAATTCGAAACGCAATATTTAGCATTTTTAATTTAAAATTTCAACCTTGAACAAACGATCCAGTGTGAGTAGTGGTCGATTGACGTCAGTTCAGTGCCCGAAAGTGAAATTTTATTTTTTCTTTCTTAAAGAACTTTTAACAAATTTGTTATGATTTGTAATGCAATCTTTGGCATTTTTACTCTAAAATATGTCAACCTTGAATTAAGGATCCAGTGTTAAGAGTGGTTGGCTGATATGATACCAGCGATCGAAAATAAAATTGTATACGTTTTGTATTTAGAAAAATAGTAACCAATCTGTAATAATTTGTTACTTAATATTTGACTTTTGAATTCTAAGTGGAGTGAGGAAGCTATTGGTTTAACTTTTACAAAAGTGTTAATTTTTTTTTTTTTATAACTTATATACAAATTTTCTATCAGAACTAGTCTTCGATTTCAACACATATAAGACGTTATCTTTTAGCAAATTGGATCGAAATGGTACTTTAGAGAGGGTTTTTTTCGATTTTCTCAATAGTTATACATATAATGATACTGAAAAATTGCTAAAAATGGGAATTTAATTTATAACGCTTTGCTTATCACCATAGAAACGAATTAAAAATAATAATATTAATTTCTACTTACATGATATAATAAATAATAACAATATAAAATATCCAGACTGACATGCCGTTTTTTGCTCAAAATCGTTTCTCTTATACAATGATAATATATCATTGAATTCAAGTTTAATACAATCCATTATACAATGACCCATTTGTAATTTACTGTACATCAGAGCGACATCCAATTCCCCGCTTTTTTAAGTTAAAATTAAACTCTAGAATGTCAGTTATAGTGTAGAAGAATTATCTAGCCGGAACCACTGAAGCTATGAGTATGAAATTTAGTCAGACGTTTCATTTTATGATGCGAAAAACCTCTAAGAAAGGGTTTTTCAAAATTCAACCCCTACAGAAGTTAAAAGGGTTAAAAGTATTAAAAATGAATAAATTAAAAATTCGGAACAACTGAAGCTATGAGTATGAAATTTATTGAGTACCTAGTTTCTACATTTATACAAATGTAGAATTACATGAAACTAAAATTAAAAAAAAAAAAATTTGGAAAAAAGTTAATACTTTTCGAGATAATAGAATAGTGAAGTACGAATAGTGAAGCACCCTGTACAATCGTATTTTTCTGGAGCCCAAGTACCCTCAGTGCAACTTTCGAAATATACACAAACAGGTATTGAATCTACGTTGGTTATCCTTTGGTTAAAAATTGTTTTTTAAAAAATAAATTTCCGTGTTCATTTTGAAACTGCCTACCTGTATAATTGAGTATACGTTCATTGATAATTAATATTATATTTGTTTCATTTTATTTATAATATTTGTAATAACAATATTGTCATCATGTGATTGTAAAATTTCTGTTTTGTTTGCATTATTTTTAAAATAATATAATTTTCACTCGACGTGCAGATAAAAGTATGATTTTTGTCGTAGGTTTGAGATGAGTTCGATCGTTTTTTCAAATGTTCTTGACAATAGAAATCACACAATAGTTAGGTGTGACTGTACCGACGCTCGATGTTTTATCATTTAACCTATAAATATCACACAGGTATGGGCTACATATTATGATAGCAAAGACAGCAAAGACATAAAATGTTTAACTTCATTGCACACTCTTATGCAATATGTTTTTAACATTGTCACAAATCATTATAGTTATTTTATCATTTACCTTAGTGTTTCCCAACCGGTGGTCCGTGGGCCAGTCATAGGTGGTCCGCGGTACCTTTCTTAGTTTTCTATTAAAAATTATTTTTTTTTTAAACAGCGAAAAATATTTTATTTTACCGTAATATACGGTTATCTTATCGTTGTTTCTGCCGACGACCGATAAGTATTTTCCACTTTTATAAGTGTGTAGGTCAGAGAATTCATCCGAGAATTGAAAAACTGGTATTGGTCAAAGAAATGCAGCCACAAAAATCACACTAAGTAAATTATTAGTAAAGTTTAATAATTATATATAATAGTACAGTAAAATAATAAAAAATTTTTAATAAATTTTTGTGTATTCTTGTTAATGAGCAAAAAAAAAAAAAAAAAGGTCTTCCTAGTTTGCGAGTAAAATTGAGGTGGTCCGCGACCTATAAAATATTGTCGAAGTGGTCCGTGGTGGTAAAAAGGTTGGGAAACACTGATTTACCTAATGCAACAATTGTCAATTATATCGATGGAAGTTTATTCATCGTATATTTATGAACAATACAATTTGGATATTTACCTATATTATATCTTATAGCTTAAATACAAAATGTATATTACAGCCTTAAATTTGGTTCATCAAATGGTAAGGTTGTTTTAACGATTTTAAATAAATCATCGAATTCAAAAAAAGATAATTCTGAACTAATAATATAGTTATAACTTTATAATTGATAAGATAATATTTTACATTAATCTACCAAAAAAAAAAATATACATATAAATATAATATCCCACTGTGAGTAGGTACATTAGTGTAGTACCTAACTCAAAAAATGAAGATTTTAAGCTATACATGTTTTCTTATTTTAAAAATTGCATTCTTTAGAATGCACTAGTGTATAAATAATAATCATTGGTCCCGGGTAAAAACTAAAAAGGGCTGTAGTACAGTTTACCAACTTTTTGAGACATCAGTATCAAAGTTTGAAAATGCATACTTGTAATAGTTCATTACATATCCAAATAGTCATGTACGTCATTCATACATTTTGGTAACTTTGGTAATCTTTATAATTTTTAACGATTAATATTTTTCCATAAAAATGAATAGTTTGAAATTAAAATAGGTAGGTTCTTATATTTTATATTATGCAGCGTGTTATACACAGTTGTAAACTTGTAACAGCAGTAAATTCAACATTAATAATGACTATAATGACCATAAAAAATGTAATGGATGGTATTAAATTTGAATATAATGATATAAATCATTGTGTACGAATAGTGTTTGAAGTATGAAATATTTCACTATATGGTGTAAAATACAATTACATACAACATTGAAGGTGCTTTATGACAATCATATGTAGATATAAAACTTATTAAAAATTAAATAAAATTTATTAAAATATTGAAATATTTCATTTTTAAATTTTATGAAATTTTCAAACACTATATGAATACGAAAATCC